ATCATACCAGCGAATGGTGACACCGTAACAGCAGTTATCTATGACATAGACACTGAAATCGCCAATGAAGATCTTCCTGTACTGATAAAACCAGTGAGTGAAAACAACGTCATTGTGCATGCTGGTCGCCTAGGCAACTCTCGTTGTGTGCGAATAACATTCAAGGGTGACTGTCATCCCTCTTACGTGTAGGTTGGCCATTTCCGTCACCAAGTTCACCTCTTTATTCCAAAGCCTATGCAGTGTTTCAAATGCCAGAAGATTGACCACGTGAAGGCCGTTTGCCCCCGATGCGCTGTGTGCCCCCGATGCGCTGAACACGACTCAGAAGACGACTGTAATGCAACTACGTTGAAATTCCCCAACTGCCAAGGAGCTCACAGTGCTTCCTCCAATGACTGTCCTCAGATTAAGAAAGAGATTTATATTCTGAGGCAAATGGTGCGAGACAACTCGACTCACAGAGAAGCTGCGCAAAAAGTAAGGCGAAGGCGCCGTCATCGTCGAAGGTCCTCACGAAGGACAGTGAAAAATCTAACGAGAAAGTCTGAAACTCAAGTGAAATCGACAGGCGCGGCTCCTAGCAAGGCAAACATCTGCACTGAAAGAGAAGATGCTGGAAGATCTCACTCCAAAGGAATTGCCGCCCCTGCAGCCTACAAGATCTGTTGAGCCTTAACAGCAGCCGCCTACACGTCCTGTTGAGCCGCAACAGAAGCCGCCTCAAGAACAAGCACAAAATGCCGCAACGGCCGGGAAGCCAGATCATTGCGTGATGGTGATGCTAAGATCATTAGTGGACACAATTCGCATGTTGTTAAGCGACATGAATACACCGTCAGCCAAAAGTGCCCTTCAAGTACTGGACGCGCTTAGTCCAGTGCTAGCAGCCCTAGAGTAGACCATGGCTAACCCACCACTGTTTTTCAAGGATGAGGTCCGTAAAGCGGCAATACTGCAGTGGAATGCCAGGGGACTGAGATCGCGTATTGGTGACTTTCGTCGATTTGCGTACGTCAATATGCTTCCCGTAATCGTCATCTGTGAGCCGAACTTATCGAGTGCAATACGACTCTCGGGATACGAACCTTTTATGTCGTCTACTATTACTAAAAGCAGCAAGGTTCTGGTGTACATTCGCCGAGACCTCACTAACATCCTTCAAACTGTACCACCTCATGACGGAAACCAATACGTATGCTTAAGAGTGAAAAAGAGGAGGCTCAACATCACTGTGGTTGGTGCGTACCTATCACCATCAAGCCGTTTCGATCAAAAAAGACTACGAGACATCATAGCGTTAACTCCTGACCCGTGTGTCATCATTGGGGATTTTAACTCTCATCATACATTATGGGGAAGTCAGAATACCAACTTGAAGGGCAGAAGCTTGGTGTCTTTTGCCTCCGACAACCAACTTTGGTTACTGAACGATGGCAGTCCTACATTTTTACGTGGCTCCACATACAGTAGCTGTCTCGACTTGGCTTTTGTTTCGCGAAGCCTAGTGAAATATACTGAATGGTTCACGGATATAGAAACGCATGGGAGTGATCACATTCCAACATACGTCAAGATCAGAGTATTGTCGCCTCCTAAAGTGCGCGACATGGTTAAAAGAGTGGACTGGAAAAAATTCCAGTCTCGTATGGAAAACCAATGCCAAGAACACATATCCGATTTACAAGAGGTCATCAAGAGCACTGTAAAAGAGACTGTGTGTACGATCCCATGCCCTGTAAGAATTATGGACATCGACATAGACCTGGAGCGGCTTCGAGCCTTGCGACAACGAGCTGAAAGAAGGTACCGGCGCACGAAGGACATAGAAGATTTACTGCCTGCTAGACGTATGCAGAATAAGATCAAACTTCGGTTGGACAAGCTAAATATCCAACGCTGGATTACTTTCTGCGAGTCACTCGACCCTCGTAAGCCTTTATCGCAGATATGGAGGACGGTTAGAGGTTACCGGTCATCGCCCATTCAGAAGTCACCATTCAAGGCCTTAGCCCTTCACCAAAATTGACCAGGTGTGGACGTTGCTGAAGAGTTCTGTGCCGGATTATCAGGGCAAACTACAGCTATCACGTGATTCCTGTATGGACTTCCCGTTCACCATTCAGGAGCTCAAAGCAGCACTCGCTTCATGCAAACGTACCTCCGCACCAGGACCTGACAGAATCTCCTACACAGCCCTGTGTAATCTAGGTGAGCGCGCGAGAATAGCTCTACTTCAGCTATATAATGATTGTTGGCTAGAGGGCACTGTCCCTTTAAATTGGAAAATTAGTCGTCTAGTACCATTACTAAAACCTGGCAAATCAACCATTGGAACTTTCCCCCTATCGCCCGATCGCATTGGCTAGTTGCGTGGGTAAAGTGATGGAGAGAATGATTCTCGGCCGGCTCGAGTGGTACTTGGAGTATCATGAGATCTACCCAAATATCATGGCTGGCTTTCGACGTGGTCGATCATCGATCGATAGCGTCATCGACCTAATCACGTACGTTGAACACGTGAAAGGCTATAAGCGTCTTTGCGCCTCTCTGTTCCTTGACGTCAAAGGAGCCTATGATAACGTTACACATGAAGCCGCCCTTACCGCACTAGAAAAGATTGGAGTGGGTGGCCGAATGTTTAAGTGTATACGCAGTTATCTCCAAATGCGATCCTATTTTGTGAGTACAGAGACCGGGAACACGTCTACACATTTCCGTTGTCGTGGCGTCCCTCAGGGTGGTGTACTGAGCCCCGTGCTATTCAATATAACACTAATCACTCTCCATACGCACCTACCAAACAATATTTATCTATCAACATACGCTGATGAAATCTGCATCTGGACATCTGCGGTAACTCGCCTGCAGTTACGAGCGAGAATACAGAGAGCTGCTACTGCAACGGCTTTGTATCTACGCAATCGAGGCCTGGAAATTTCCTCCGGAAAGTGCGCTCTTCTGGCATTTACGCGCAAACTCATGTCGAATTACAGAGTGTCAATTAACGGTCAAAATATACCATATCGTCGATCTCACAAATTTCTGGGTGTCATAGTCGACAGAGCCATATCATGGAGCCCTCATGTGTCGTATTTGAAAAAGCGATTGAAAGGCATGTGCCATCTTTTCAAGTTTCTCGCTGGAAAGACTTGGGGAGTGCAGCCTAATGCTATGTTACGACTGTACAGGGTGCTTTTCCTTGGATTTTTACGATACAGTCTGCCTACGTTATCAAACGCCAGCAAAACAAGTCGACGCATGATACAAAGCGTTCAGGCAGAGGCGCTTCGAATATGTCTAGGTCTGCCTCAGGGTGCCTCAACAATGGCGACTATAGCTATAGCCAAAGACCACCTCGTGCAGACCCATATTGAAATTGAAGCTTTGAGGACACACATAAGGCATGTGGGCCGGACTCCCCATCACCACCTAGCCTCTCTACCAGTGGATAGACCTCATACTTCCTTTTGTCGAACAATAACTACACATGCTGACTCCCTACCAACTGGTTTTACGCCCGTGGCGAGACCTTCAATTCCTCCATGGTGCCTCAAACAGCCAGTCATCAACCTGACAATACCAAGCATCCAGAAAAAACGAGATTTCTCAATACCAGCCTTCAAGCAGGTCGCCTTACTTCTGCTGTACGAGAAGTACCAAGACTGCACCTACGTCTACACCGACGGCTCCATCCTGCCAAACAGCTCAACTGCGGCAGTCGTTATTCCAACGCACGCCACAACCATCAAATTCAGGACAGCTCATGCAACCACAACAACGGCAGCAGAGCTCGCAGCACTTCGCGCTGCGCTGCGTTTCATTAACGACCAAAGCTAGCAACGGTGGACGATATTCTGCGCCTGCAAGGCGGCACTGCAGTCACTTCTGTCCAATCTACGCCGTGGTACACATGAGCAGTTGGTAATTGAAACAGCAGAAATGCTACACCATATAACAGAGAAAGGGCACCACGTTATATTTCAGTGGTCGCCAAGCCACTGTAGAATTATCGGTAACGAACGAGCTGATCAAGCTGCCCGTTCAGCCCATACAGAAGACAACGACCAGTCAATACCTCTCTCAAGGACTGACGCCGCTAGGAGGCTCCGCATGCTTGCTCGCCAACGCTTCATGGCTCTTTGGAATGAGCCTCTCTTTACGCATGCAAGATTACGATCCCTTGATCCTACGTTAAGCATGCAGCTTCCAACAAAAATTCGACGAGGCGACGCTACTGCTCTGTGCAGACTATGGTTGGGAGTCGCGTTTACCCGTGCGTACGCGTTCCGCATAGGTATGGCCGACCCCGCCGACTGTGCACACTGCGGAGATGAAGAAACAATTCGACATATCCTGTGTAACTGCCCGAAATACAACCTGAAAAGACAACACCTTTCTAATAAACTAAACAGGTTAGATGACCAGCCGCTGTCAGAAGAAAGTATACTGCGCCATCGTCATGACTGTGTTTGCGTGTGATTGTGTGTGCGTGTCTGTGTTTTTCTATTATTTATTTTTTAACTCTCTCTTTCTCTTTCAGCCCCTTATTCCCCAACCCCAGTGTAGGGTAGCATACCGAATACTAGCCTCTGGTTAACCTCCCTGCCTTCCTTTTTTTCTCGTTTCTCTCTCTCTCTATGCGTCGTTTCCGCTTATTATTAGAGAGCGAGGAAACGCGACCAGCCGAGTTCGCGATTCCATCTGTGACACCAAGTATAAAGAAATGAGTTGCCTCATGCCATTTTTTTCTCGTTTTTCATGAACGGAGTGTTCTTTCTGTGTTCTTTATTTTTTGCCTATTCTATCAGTGTTTTTGAAGTGTCTTCCCATACCACTTCACTCACGGAGACGCCCACATAGCCCCTACAACACTGGATTTGTTGCTTTTTTTAAAAAAGTGGACCAAAACAACAAAGGAAACATTTATTCTGCATTTATTCTACCTTAAACCTTCTTCAACAACAGCAACAAGAACACGAATGGCATCGTGTACTTACCCCCATGTAGCAGACAAACTCCTCGTTACAGATGGTCTTGTTAGGTTTGCTTGTCGAAGACGGGCATTGTGGTCCTTCACCAGTGCCATGTGGTTAAGGTACAGTAAAACTTCTCGTTTTCGTTGCGGCAGGCTTACCTGAACTGCACTTACTGTCACAAAACAGACGTGTTCGTTGCGACTAAGCCTCTTATCTGATCACATTTGTGTCTGCCGTAAGTAATGAGTTATACTACTCGTGTCTTGCGGCGCTGCTTTAGTACATACACACGAGAACAAAGCGAATGTACATGAATCGTGGTGGGCGAGTTATTCAGCGTTTCGTTAATTTTTTTATTTATGCCGAGCTCTTCAGAAGTATCCAAAGATACCATACCAACATACCCGCATTGTAAAGCTATGTTATTGAGTGTCGCTAAGCAGGGGTGCACAGCAACCTTCTTGTGCAGAGTAGACTGACCAACTCGTATCTCATTTCACAGAATCACAATTATGCAGAACTTTGATAGCCTTAAGGTCATATAAAGACGGGTGGCACACTGCTTGGTTGTTATTCAGGTTATGACATAATGCAAGAAACATTTAGAAATGAATGGGCTATCTAATTGTGGTCTGCAAGACATCTTTTATGACACGTAATTGCCAAAGAAAATCGCATGCACTCGCCGATCGGTAAATTATGACTGCACGGAAGCACTTCGACGAGTTTCCGCGTTATTTTGACATATTGATGTTTCTTCCTTTAACTGCCGCTGATGAAATAGGCGAACCGAAACTTCTCGTTCATTCTTTCTTTTTGTTCTAGTGCACTTACTATAGTCCGATACAACTTTAGACGTCCTCGGCATTGTCTCCTCAAAGGCATATTCGCACAAGCGTGCACCAATGACTGCCCACTCCGGACGGACATCAACCGACGCAAGGCTGGTAGCCCCGCTTTCGGTGAACATTGCCGAGTGCTGGACACGAGCGGGACTATTTCTTTGGTAGCCGAGGGGACAGGCTGCTCAGTTTCAGTCGTCTGGGTGGGGTCATCTCCGGACTTCTGAACATGTACTTGACTCAAGACTGAAACTCTGCATCATCGCATACAAACAAGACAGAAGTTTAGGGGACAATTGCAGCTCGAAGTGATGAAACATCGTTCGACAACGAATGTAGGAGCGAACGTTTTAACAACTGAACTTGTCTCTATCCAAGCACCAACCAAGGAAGGCACCTGCTGTTCTACGAAAGTTTCGCTTCTCGAAACACTGCCGCCAGAAACATAATATGTTGAACGACATTATACAACAGCATAGTGACGTATACTTGCATCAGTTAAAAAAATAACAAGCCAAAGTCAATACAGCCACGTCAAAGGATATTCGCAATAGCTGGCGCTCCGGCATCCGTTGTCATCCCGGCACTTGTCTCCGATCTTTAAAACGCAATCCTGGGTGCAGCACGGACCTTGACTCGGGCTGCAAAGCACAGACAGTCGTTTGATTACATCAGTGTGCGAGGGCTATCAAGTACGCGAGCAAAAGGTGCGAGTTATCGCGCGACCCATTTGAAAGCGGCATTTCACAAGGTGTTAAGTTACAGCAGATGTCACCGTACGGAGAAGCGATGAGAAAAAGAGATCAAAAAGAACAGCAGGGAGGCTAAGTCGGCAGAATAAGAGGTTTTCTGCACTGCACAGTAGAAAGGAAACAAGAGCCGCAAAAATGATTGATTGTTATGTGGCGTTTAACATCCCAAAACCACCATATCGTTATGAGAGACGGCTTTTTTTTTATCTGACTACGGGCTTCGTGCCTGCGAGCTTAGGTCACACATACCAGGACCAATAATTTCAGGGGGGAGGGGGGGAGGATACTCCAGAAATCTTTATAATAGGGTGTTTTAACGAGAATAATTAATGGCAACATGTTTTCTTAAAAGCCTTCGATATATCAATTAACGGGCAATTGGTGTCATGAAGCCAGAGTCTCAGGTTATTGGGAGTCGTAATCTACAGAAACGTGTCTCGGACCCCACACGTAAACTACGTGGAAAAGCGGCTGGCCACGATTTGTCATTGTTCAGGTTTCTTGCCGAAAAAAAACTTGGAAGGTGTCTGTCGAGTCTATGTTACAGCTGCACAGGGTATCTTTTATTGAATTACTATGGCACAGCCTGCCTATAATGTCTAACATGTGCAAAACTAACCTGTGCACACTCCAAAATACTCAAGCTCGATCTCTTAGGATATGCCTTTGTGTACCCCGCTGTGCATCGACGGCATAATTGCCATTTCTATTGCATAGGACTACCCAAACATGACGCACAACACCGTTGAAACGATGCGTGCGTACCTCACGCAACATGCTAGGAATCTTTCCCACCACTTGGCGAGCCTAGTTACTAGAGGTGCCGCCCGAAATTCGGTACAATTGTCTGTGCGCATCGCGCATCGTTTACGTCAGGTTTTACGCCTGCTGAGAAACTGCTGCTGAGAAAGCATATACAACCTTCATTGGATTGACATACATTTCGGAATGCAACGCCTGTAGCACCAGAGAAGACATCGTCCACATGCTATGCCATTGCCGTCAATTTGCCTCTGAGAAACAAAAGCTTTCTGACGCACTGCGACAATTTACCGATCGGCCACTCTCTCTGCAGATGCTGCTGGAGCACCGTCCTTGACCTTCGCCGGCTCAAAAGGTAGTCAAAGCCGTCTTGCGCTTTTTGAGGACTACAAGCCTATGTGAACGCCTTTAATTTTTGTGTAGTGCCACCGCTGCATACGCGTCAGCCCCATCACTGACAATTTTTGTCTCTTTCTCTTTTCTTTCCTCTCACTCTCTCATCTTTATACTTCTCTTTCCCGTTCCCCCAGCATAGGGTAGCAAACCGGGCATGTGTCTGGCTGACCTCCCTGCCTTATTTCTTGTTGTTTTTGTCCGCCTTCCTTCCACAAATTTCTACTCCATCCTAAAAAATTTCCTGACTACAGACCTGGGGTACACATTTGTGGTCCCCGTGTATGCTGCTGTCGCGCACGCTGTCGTTTTACAATAATTGATGCTCCCTTGATTGTGGCCTTCTCAGCGATAACCTGTATTTTCTTTTCTGATTCGGCAATTTCATCTTTATTCTAGGGCACTTGTAATTCACCTTCACACATTTTGTTGTTGCTTTTCATCGCTGCATCTAGTTGCACACATTACCATCGTTACAGCCTGTAGCACAAGAAGTGTGGCGCCGCTATAGGCACGTAGGTGAAAGGTCCTATTGCCGACGTGGAGGAATGGCGGCAGGGGGGGGCAGCATTGAACAATGTCATGGAAAGAAAAAAGCGAAGAAATTCAAAAAGAAAGAAAGAAGGCAAATACATATAGGGAAAAAGCTAAGAAAGAAGTCAAGAAAGAAAAATGGCCCCGTATCTGCATGTTAATCTGAAAATGTCATCGAAAGACGATAGTCTTGCGTCTGGAAAGATTGAACAAAACGTGTATTTGATGTTTTGTGCATATCGGGGAATGGTATTCTGGAGGGGCTTCGTTAGAGTGCCTCGAGCGTGCAGCGGAGGCGAACGGACGCACCAAGTCACGTCACACGTGAGACATGAGCGCCATCTGGCACTTATCCTGAAAAACGATACGTGCGGCTCTGAGAGGTGATAATGTGTAGAACGCAAAGCGACGGGCATGTGCCACCACCATGCCGTCTTAGCAAAGCGTTCGAAACACTACCCTTCACGTGCAAGCGTTGCATGGTCAGCACCACGTGATAAACGCTACGGTCCTTAGAGTAACTGATGTTTGCCTTTTCTAGTAAAAGACGCAGATAGAAAATATATGCGTGTTGGTATGGTGCCTCAGATATGCGCGATGATTGCTTTTTAATTGACAATCGGACAAATATGAACGCTCAATCTTGAGCAACATTGGTGGGCGCTGCAGATGGGGTCGGCCAGTTGGGGTATCCGCTAATTCCACTTGAAGTGCCCAGTACCGTTAAGACTGGGCAAACAGACAAATGGAAAGACAGACAGACAGACCAAAATTTTTGCGTTGAAGGTCCCCAAGAAAGACTATCGTCTTTTAAAAAGAAGGAAAGATAGACAGCTTCGTGTGCCCCCCCCCCCCTTTTATGATAGAAAAAGGGCCCAGGCTCGATGTGCGGGGAGTGGAGAGGGGGGAGTGCCCTAGATACCCGAGTGCCCCCGAAATTCGCATGGTAAGAGGTGTTTTATGAAGACTCATAATGGAAATAGGTGTTTTTCAAGCTTACGACCATGGCCCCCATCTACCTCTCCCCCGAAAAACCTTCCTGCCTACGGGCCTGGAAGGGCCAACTAAACTCACCGCTCTCCCCCACCATCTCTCCCTCTCTCTTCCCCTTTCTGGGCATAGCATTAGTTTGACTACATATGCGAGAGTCTCAATGCAAGCCTCTCTGGCCTTTCTAAAGAATAAGATTGTAGTTGAAAATAGCCCCGCCGCGGTGGCCTAGTGGCTAAGGTACTCGGCTGCTGACCCGCAGGTCGCGGGATCGAATCCCGGCTGCGGCAGCTGCATTTCCGATGGAGGCGGAAATGTTGTAGGCCCGTGTGCTGAGATTTGGGCGCACGTTAAAGAACCCCAGGTGGTCGAAATTTCCGGAGCCCCCACTACGACGTCTCTAATAATCATATTCTTTTTTCTTTTTCTCCGAGGACTATTCTTTTTTTCCGAGGACTATCGTGGATTGGAACAATCTACATAACGATGTTGTTACCCTAAATACATTGTCTGCATTTGAAGAGTCACTGCAGAAATGATTGTTATCTATGTTTGTACCTTGCTTTTTGTTGATTCTCTTGTCTCGATGAATCACTGCAGCTATCAGATACATAAGTTTGTATTACATTTGTTTTTGATTGTTTGTTTGCCTGTTTCCACTGATGTTTATGTTTATCTTTTGTACCACCCCTGCTATGATCTTGTAAAAGATCGCAGTATCAATAAATAAATAAATAAATAAATAAATAAATAAATAAATAAAAAATATGGTGGTTTTGGGACGTTAAACCCCACATATCTACCGAGTGGAAAATAGGCCCCAGCAGGTCACATCTCATATGTTCTGCGGCATACAAGGCACCACCCATTCCGTTTTAATGTATGCACTTCAGTGTGACGTCTACGTTGTTCTAAACTGTACCTTTATTAGTAAAAATTTATTCTAAAGAGCTTCTATATATCGAAGCACCCGCCAACCCTGGGCGAAGAAAGCCGGACGAAAATACGTTGAAGCTTAACGCTTCTGCTTCAACATCAATTCATTATTGAGCTACACAGGGCATGCAATCTGGCTGTGTTCCTTGTTTTTTGTATGCTCCTGAAGTTCAATAGCGAATACCGGCGAAATCTGAAAAGTCGGGTGTTTAACGACTAATTCCTGTTGTTTTTAGCTTTATTTTTGCTTTCGTGAAGAATTATCGACTGACGCCGTGCACCGCGTCGCTATCGAAAATGCAGCACCAAGAATGGTAGGAAATGTTTTTTGCGCATTTATTACCTCGTTTGGACACATAGATGAAACTGACAGGCAATGAGCGCAGGCTGTCAATTTATACCGTCAGAAAAACAGCATTTTCTACCCACTCTTTAGAGGTAGCAGATAGGAAAAGAAAATAGCAGACAGCCTTCAGGAATGATATAGGGAGTGGCTATAGAGAATGAAGAGCTTACGAATTCAACATAAAACGAATCGGTATTAAATGCGGTCCCATAACATAAAAATAGCCGCGTAGGGACACTGCGGCGTTTTCGTACGCCATCGATTTTTTAGGGGCAGTCAGTGGTATAGGCCATGATTTGAGCGTTGATTGGCATGTTCTGGGCATTCAGCGGCAATGTCTACTATGCGATTTGTGCCACGCTCACCGACCACCCCGGCTGACGCAGAAGAAACAAGTGCGATCATTCTAGGCATACCAAGGTCATCACTCGACGCCAGGAGTAGCAAGCCAGGCGACAAATAGTACTAACATGCACAAAACTACCATTTAAAAGTGTTTTATATGCTCCGTGTTTTTTTCCTCCATCTATCTGCCTTTTTAAGAGCGCTACACAAAAACGGAGAATCCTTTGTGAAAACCTAGTTGTTGCATTCACGATGCGACACTGAAGAGACAGTTCCCAAGTGAATTATGATTGGCTATGGCAACATTTTAGCGAACATTTATATCGTGCGTGGACATTTCAGTTTCGTGAATATATCTGTTCTGTCAACTTTTAGGTTGCGTGGACACATGATTGCATTGAAGAACATGGACTGAGTTTTGTACTACATGCCTTTCAATAGTCTTGTGTTCATGTTGCACTGCGACCACAGCTATTGCGCATGAGACGAGGAGTAGCAGCACCGCGCATTGGCACCAGTTTTTTTTTAATTCGTTTAATAGAAAAAATTAGACAACCACCTTCTTGCGCAAAAATGTTTAGGCAAGAGACGACACACGGACGGGCGCAAACTTCCAACTGATTTTACTATCCAAACGAGGCATATATATGTAAGTATGACCAACTTAACCACCAATGTGAAAGGAAAGAAGGAAAATAGGGGGGAAAGAACGGCTGGGAGGTTAACCAGCCTATAGACAGCCCATTTGCTACCCTGCGCTTGGGAGAAGGAGGGGGGAGATGAAAGATAAAGAGCAGAGAGGCAATAGAGAAACACAGCACATTCGGCAGCACACGCGCGCACACTCAGTCATAGTCCAGCCTTGTCTTCCGCGGTGTGTGACATTGCTGTTACAGTCGCTTGTTCAAGTCCGTGTCGCGTAGGAATTTCAACAGAGCTTTCGTCGCCTTCTGTTGCAATGTCTTCTCTCGAGCAATGTGAAAAGTTTGCAGTACGTCAGCGCCCATCACTTACTCCCTCCCCAAGATGTAGTGCATTATCCAAGAAGGTCATTTATATGCCTCGTTCGATAACAAATTCAGTTGGAAGTTCGCGCCCGTCCTTGTTTCGTCTGTTGTCTGATTGAAAAGTTTTGCGCAAGAAGTGGGTTACCGGTATCAGGTGGTACCAACTAGCTCGAACCCCCACCTTTAAAAAAAAATTACCCGCAGCTTCCCTCGGGGGAACACTGAGGAGGATGCGGACCATATAATTGGTTAACGGGGTGTTAAAGTGCGACTTACTTGGGTCGATGGCTAAATTGGTTAACGTGGTTGTGAAATGGGGTGTTAAATTGCGACTTACTTGGGTCGATGGCTAAATTAGTTAACGTGGTTGTAGGAGGGGGTGTTAAATGAGTGAACACGTACACACGTATGCGAAAGGGCGGCGCTGGTCGAAGGGACGTCGATCATTGTGTTTGTGGATTCGTTGGAATTCATTTCACCGCGACCTTGGACGTCGACGCGCCGTACAAACCAACCGACGAGCGGCAACTGAGCGAGCGAGCGCCGACCTTGAGTATATATACAGCACGACGGCGCATGCACTGTCAGCTGTTGAATGTTCTCGAAGCGCGACGCCACATGCGCGTCCACTGGAGAATCAGGAGAATTGTAGATGTCGAACGCGGTGTGTAGAGGAGGAAGGGTGCACAGATGGTGGAGGAGTGAAGCGCGCGCGGTGTGTAGAGGAGGAAGGGATGCACAGATGGTGGAAGAGTGGGCGACGGCACGACGGCGCATGCGCGCGCGTCAGCTGTCGAATGTTCGAGAAGCGGTGCGGACGGCGCGGACGGCGCACTACAAGGCGCGAGTATAAGATGCTTCCGCATCTAAAAAAAGAAGAGCACATCGTGAACGCGAACAAAGCATAGCTCAGTTTTCCGTTATCTCGATATACCCACCTGCATACGACGTTAGGCCTGAGCTTACAGGGCGGTTCGTCTCGCGGCGGGTTGGATCGCATGGGGAAGCAGCACGGCTCGAGGCAGTCGTCCTCCCAGCCGCAGTCGCACTCCTCACCGGCCTCGACCACCTCGTTGCCGCAGATCGAGTCCTGGGGCTCTGCGTTTGTGCACGTGACGAAACCAGGGTCAAAGACCTGTGAACACTTTCACCTCATCCACGTACGTATGACGTCAGCGTTTGCTCAAACTGCGGTTCATAAGGGTCAAAATAATACGCAGCTTTACACCTCGCCATTCACGGTAAACCAAAATGGCGGCCTCGATGACATGAAGAAAATATAGAGGCAATAAGAGGCAAGATGACCATAGTGACCCTATGTTAATGGAAAGTATATAACAGACAAGGATCACAAGAAAAGTTTAACGGATGTTATTATGAGTAATTGCAATTTAAATGTGAAGAAAGAAAGTGAACAAATGGATATGTTGCCACTGGCAGTGACCAGACACGAAGGTCACAGATTCGGTCCCTGTCAACGGCAATTTTTCTTTTCGTCCATTTTTCTTTTTTCAAACTTACATTACAATTACTTCTAAGAACATTCCTTATGCTTCCCTTGGCCATATTGTCTGTCAGTTCTCATAAAAATTGTGTCTAACAAAGCCCCTTTACACTGATATTTTCTTTTCTCTAACAATTTACACTTCCTTCCTTCATTTATGGTGAACCTATGTATGTTATATAGCACTGCGAGTGATGTCAAACACACATTTTTGAACCACAACTGCTAGCGTCCGTACAGGGGACAAACGCTGCAATATGCTTACAGCTTCGTCTGTAGGTATTGTATGGTGAAGCGCGGATGTTGATAACGGGTGTTTTGCCATACATACACAATGTGTGCGATTAAAGTCTTAATGTATTATGCTGCAATATGCGTACAGCTTGCAAATCGTCCACGAAACAGCACAATTAACACCTGTCAAGCTGTCCTAATGCAGCTGTTACATTGCCATGCTCACCACTCACATATGGTAAGTGTACTTACGTGGAAAAAATAAATTTCCTTGCTTGCCTGAACCCTTCAGTCGTAAAAGCGTATACGAATTGCTTTCTGTTAGTCATGTCCTTCTGTCAGCACACGTGAGTTACGAGGAATTCCCACTGAAGTTACAAAGCGCCGATGAAAGTGAAAAGCCGTGTGACGCTTCAACTCTCATTCGACCTCGCGTGACGTTCGCCATATTTGTCTGCATGAAACTTATAAAAACATATTGCTATAGTTGGTTCATTACGGCACAAAATAGTTACAGTGCAGCACTATAGGCGAAGAATTCAGCACAAAAAATAACGTCGGACGGTCGATGTTGTATCGTGAACTCTTCACCTTGTGTATCATTGCGACTATTTTGTTTCCGTGCAAGTTTGTAGCGATTAACCTGAACCGTGTGCTCGGTGCCCTCTTTCTTCACTTGACCTTCAATAAAAGCGGCAATGCATGCGCAATATCCTTTGCGAGTTGTACGAGTGATGCGCAAGCATAGAGCGTTACCGTAGAAAAGTCTGTGGTCCCGGGATTCCCTGGAACACTTAATGCAGTCGACTGAGAACTTCCAAGTAATTTAATAAATGCTTCGGGGGAGCATAGGCTTTTGCCTGTTTTCTCCTGTTGATTAAAGGCATTGTCGGGAATCGTTTTGTTTTATATGAACATTTCTTTGCACTGATTCGTGTGACCTGTCAAAGTGACAGACACATGGACAAGCAGCGTAGACAAGCTTGCGTCACGCTTTGTGTCACCGTGTAGATATGCTTACGCATTTAAAAGCTCTACAAAGTCACACGCAGAGCATGCTTACCCTGCATAACCTAATTCTCGCAATGGACATTTAAAGGGTATCGGCGCCGTCGCTTATATGTACAGCCTAATTGTACGCGTGTTTCACTGCACTGCACTGACAGAGCTGCGCATTACCTGAAAAGCATCCCCTTGGTGTTCCTCGCCTTAGAGTTGAGCACTGCGTTGATGCCTTTCAGGCTGCAGGGCGAAAAGCGATTGTTGTTCCTCTTGTCCCCGGAAGTGGCGTGCGCGAACATGATGTAGTTTCCGTTCTCACCGCCAGGGGTGCACATGCTGTCGTCCTTGGGGTCGTGCTGCACCCGAATGACAACGTGCGTTAACTTATTTTTCCACTCTGTTGAACGAGACGTCCAACACCTAATTGACCCGCTTCTAACTCTACAGTTTGAATTTCTGGATATTCTTTTTTAGCTGCAACACAAACGTAGAACTGCGGGAGCAAGAAACGACGACAAAACCCTTCTCTTGGCTTGGAACGCCTGTAGCAGTTACCCGTTGGCGACAATTTCGATGATTGAGTTGCACCATATTTCAATCAACGGTTGCCTTTTGACTCTTCTATGAAAACATTTAGTGAGACACTAGACTCCATTTCTTTGAAACTTGAGATAAAAGAAAGTATCGCGATGTACATTATGGTCATGCACCTTTATAACGGTGTGCTCCAGGTCTTCTAAATGTTTCCACGAAAAATAGAACGAATTAGTTGGCAAAGGGGCACACTGTAACGTTTGCAGTATAGCCGGTGTTTAATAAGTAATTGTTATAAAGGTCATTTCACAGTAGAAGCACTCTACTGCATATAGGCAGCCGCCAAGTCCTCTTGAACTACATTTTTGCAATAAATGTTTTATTCATTCGGTCAATAGGCGAACTCGTTTTGAATTCCTGGTCAGCATTTAGATTTTATAAGCAATCGCATATTTCAAGAACAGTTTTACGTCTTTCATTCAATAGTAGGGCACTCAATATTATTTAGGTAACGTCGACCCCCCTCCCCCCGCTCCCCCACGTTTTCCTTGTCAGCCTTCCCAATGTCTATTAGGCGCCGTCCAGTCAAAAATTTTGGCGGAACGTTATACGAAAATCTGTTTCGCTCACGATCGGGAATGTCGCGTGTAAAACAAGACCTTTTGATCCTTGCCAAGTCACACTTTTCGGGAACTAAGCAACATTTACTTTTGCTTTTCACTCATGATTCAGCGCTCAACATGCGCGCAAGTTCATAAAAATGCCTTCCGCAAATCGGCGTTGTGTTTGCTAAGCTCCGATAACGGACGTCGCAAGCAGTTAGCGTTGAAAATGCTCCGCAGCTTGCTATCTCCGTAAGTGCATGCTGCGTAGCTTAAAAAGTGTCGATGCAGCACAATTATTTCGCCAAGACACAAACTACAAAAAAAAACAAAAGCACCTTAAGGCGTGTTAGCATGTTTACGAAAAACTCTGCACGCAGTGTGTTCTTAAGTTAGGAACTTAATGACGCGTCTCCGGCATTTTTATATTATTCTACTTTTTTGCATTTGTGACGCTTTTAAGCGTTTTCTAGTAAATCTCAATGCAGTTTTTGTAGAAAAAGAAGAGAAGTGCGATAGCGAAGTGAAAGTGTGCTTTAATACAAGCCTTGGTATCCCGAGTCTTCCGTCTCATTAATTTTCTTTTCCTTAATGCTAGCCTCATTTCCAAGAGGTATCATTCATTCTCATTAAGAAACTTCCACCTACCAAACAAGACGTCATCGCACACGGCTCTTATTAGGAAACGCGAAAAAAAAATACAAAAAATAGAAAAAAACTTGTTGACCCACTTTGAAATTCGCGTTCCCTCCATTTACCCAGTTTCTCGCTACTTGAAAGCTTACTGAAGCAAGAGAAAAAACTGCTTGAGAGGTTGCTCCCTAAAAAAAAAAAAAACTGAAGAAAATTGCTCTCGACGTTCGCAGTTGTGCGGTCGTACTATTTGGCGGTAGTTGTAGATTTTTCAGGGCTTGTATTGTCGAGTTTGGTTACTAAAAAAAAGGAAAAAAACTGTGTAGTGGCAAGTATACACACTTCGAAACAAATTGCTGCGCTTTATCTTGCAGAGTGCGCCACACTCGCTTTAACGACTGTTTCTGCCATCGCGTACTGTTGGATTGCCACAAACCTGTTAACAAAAAAAAGAAGAAGAAAACGAGAGGTGAACGAGCATATCTATTGGGGCCCACAGAGAGGCTAGGAGTTAGAAGCCCCTGAGAACGTCGCGTGCAAAAATCAAATGGACAGTTGCGCGAAACTTAAGCGAGAAATAAAGGTACATAAGAAACACATATGGAAGTTAATCAGGAAGAAGTCTGATTGGATACCCTGTACCATTGAAGGGAAAAAAAAGACGCGAAATGATGAAATAGAAGTAGAGTTTGTAAGGGACATTGCCTAGTCACTGTCTAAAAACACTGAGATTAGTCGTACCTTGTAAGAACCAAGCGTTGGGCAATTTTTTTTTTGCACAATTTACATTCTCAAATGTTGTCGTTCCGTCGGGTATCTCGAAAAAAAAACCGCCAGTCCTGTGTAGCAAGCGCAGCACAGTCACAGCGAAAGTTAAAGGAGTGGCATTTCTAGAAACCTTTGTATGCGATTTTGGGGCTACTAATACAAGTACGTTTTCAGGGCGCCTGCTACGCCACATATTACAATTTTTTTTAATTTGGGTAGCACCCATGGCGCCGTTATTTATGATTCTGCGGAGAACTGAGGTACCCACTACGCATTCGCATGACGTTATATGCACTTTATTGATGCGTAGGCTGGTGACGATTAAGAATTTCGGCTG